TTGATAGTTCACCTGAGGGTGACAGCCCCAGTTTCCTCCAAGAAAACAGGGACCTTTATTCATTTATTCAACCCAAGACTCTGTAATGTGCGGAAAACATAATCTTAAGCACAAGAGGAAGAACTGCTACCAAGACAATGGGGAAATAAAAGAAATCTGAATCTGGGGCATATTCCAAGCAAATAGCTCAGATAAGAAAGACCCTGCCTATTCTCATGAAAATAAAGGGAGAAAAAAGTAGTACTTCAGCCATGGAAGATTCTGTTATTGTAGCCATACAATAAAAGTAGCACTAGCATTTATGACTTGGTTTCCTAGTCCTAGTACCTTGACATCCCATAGTACTTCCTTTACTAAGATGGTATGGCGGGTGTCCTTGCTTAGGTATTTGCAAGCTTTACATTTATGAGTGAGCTGCTGTGTATATAACTACCTGAAGAGTTCTTAAGAAAGTTACCCATGGCTACCACATTTTGAACTCCAAAGAAATGTATAGATGGAAATATCAACAAGGTTGCTGGATGGAGTGACAAAATATTGCAAGATTCTTTTTTTTTTTTAAATTCTGGTAGATAACTCTGCTTGTATGAGAAATAAAATACTGTGAATTTAAAATTCACCACTTCTATGAAATAAGAAAATATGGAATTTCACTTAGTTCTATGACAGACTATTACCACCTCCCTCATTGTTTTTTACACCAATATGTTCACCAGCAGAATAAAATGTATTTCTTCTGCCTGCTTAAAAATACAGTAATTCGGGGAAAAAACCGTAAGAGACTAGGCCCATGATGACATTTATCTTTCAACTGCAAAGAAATAGTCAAAAAATTCTACCAGTTCCCTCAAGTCTGAAGTGTCCTGGCCTCTCCAGGACACTTATCTTATCCAGCTGCAATTATAAATCAGATTACAAACAGGCCCAGAAGGGGAACTGGAGATACAGTAAGGGCTTCAGAAACACATTTTGTTTTCCTGAGTTTGTGGAGAAGGAACCATTGCTTGTTTACACTGAGAAAGTCTTCTCTTTAAAACAGAATTTTAAAACCTGTACCTACCAAAAGCTGCCTGTTTCTCCAAAGAGCCATGCTTGCTGGGAACTATCAAAGCTGATAGTTCCTATACATCTGGAAAGCAACAGGCTGGAAAGGGCCATGTTACAGCTTAAAATGTTGAGACTTCAGAGAATTGGCTTTCCAAATCACTGATGCACTTTCAGGAGACTGACTTACTCGGATCAAAAACAGCTTTTCAGACACTTTTTAACTAACCTGAAAGGGTTTATTTCAATTAACACTAGTTTCTTACAGTTTAATCATATAGAAGTCACTGTGGTCATTAAACAATCCAGTTTCAGCTAAGTTCAGAAGTGCAATCCCAGTTCATTTAGCTTTTTAGGATTACAGGACTGTACTGGCGAAGGCAGCCAGCTGGCCTCTCAGCATTACACTTTATCTTCCTTTTCTGCCTCCCTCAGGCCTGCCAACAGGTTTCTCCCAAAAAAAATCCTTAGACAAAAAAAAAGGATCACATTGACTGGGAAGTTTGCCACTGCAGACCCAGTCATTAATTAGAAAGCAGCTCAACCCCTTTTCTAAACAAGCCACAGCACTTGGACACCAAGAAACAATACACACAGAGAAAAAGCTGTTACCAAGCCTAACTCAGAATAACTTGAAATCAATCAAGCCACATCTTTTTCAAGCCACATCTTTTTCTCTAAAACCAAAGCTATATGCTGGTTGGGCTTTCTTTTTTTCTGATAAAGGCACAATCATTCAATTCACATCCTGAACAAATCTGAGAAAAATTTTTGATTTAAGAAAAACCATTTTTCCCCCCACCAGGGTTATAAAATGAACATTGCATCTTGAGCGGGACAAATCAAATTATTAACTTACTGTGTAGAAACCAACTATATTTATTTGAACTATCTTGTCATCATACATTGGTATTTTATTAGTCACATGTGGAGCAGATTATGAAAAAAGCTGTTTATACCACTTGGGCATATAATAATGCATAAGACATACATATGTTTCCAAACTTGTTTCTTATTGCCAATACAGATAGTTTCCTACATCCTTCAATATGGGGACACTGTGACAGTTATAACTGCAAGGACTTGTTATATGTTACTTTTTTCAGCACCATTGTAACTTGAAATGGTTACTAAATGAATGGTCATTAAGTTAAGGACTACCTGTATTTTAGTATGTTATGGTAAGAAAGCCTTTAACGAGTCATGGTTAGCTGTTGGTGGCAGGTATTATTAGAAAGGGCCAAGTGACCAACAGCAATAGCAATAGCACTTAGACTTATATACCTCTTCGCAGTGCTTTACAGCCCTCTCTAAGCGGTTTGCAGAGTCAGCGTATTGCCCCCAACAATCTGGGTCCTCATTTTACCAACCTCGGAAGGATGGAAGGATGAGTCAACCTTGAGCCAGTGAGAGACGAACTGCCAAACTGTTGGCAGCTGGCAGTCAGCAGAAGTAGCCTGCAGTACTACATTCCAACCACTGTGCCACCAGGGCAGTTAGCTGCTAGGGAAGAATGCATTGTGTGGGAAGTCAGAGCCCCAGAGAAGGAAATATTAAAAGGGCAAAAATATATATTTCCTCAAAAGTATTTTAAAAAGCAGAAACCAACTTTGGCTCCAAATCTCTGCCCCAAGCAAGACCTAGCCCCATACAAATGCAGATA